CTACTTTGAGACCTAATAGATATGTGAAATGATGATTCAAAATGATACTATTTTTTTTTAATAATGCCTTTATTTTTCCAGGCTCATTTGCCGTAGCTTTGCGGAGCCGATATTCATTGTTTAAATCACAAAATTTCTTAAAACTTCCGTCAGTAAAGCGGGGGCCGATTACTCGCGGCTATCTCGAGAGTAGGAGTAACAAATTGTAACAAATGGATGGCAGGGTAGGGGTTGAGAACACAAGGTTTTGAGAGCAATGTGCTCTTGCTATCAAACTAAGCGACATACTGATGAAAAAGACAAACATGGGGGTACACCGATGGGCAGCTAAAAACTTGGGAGAACACAAGATGACACTAACTACTAAATCCTTACCCAAGTAACATTGCAAGTTTATGGAGGTTTTAAAGCATGTTACAAGTCTGAAGTCATGGTCTACAGAACCCGAAATTGTTGCTTGGGTAGATCGATCCGTTTTAAAAACACATAAATTAGATTTGAATAGTCGAGATCTCGGTTCGCCAAGATGTCTCTAACGTGCCGCAAAGGTTACAAATGATACTAAAAGGCCACGATTAAATATTTTTTTAAGATTGATTTTTTAAACCAATTATTTATAAATTTTTCCAAGTTTGAAATCAATAAAAATCTGCCATGGATCTTTAAATTTATGCCATTGGTAATCTCAAAATAATGTTTCAATTTGAGATCACGATTTATTTTTCAACGGGGCAGTCCATTAGACTGATGCAAAATATAAAATATTCGCTCTACACTGCTCAATCGGTTCCTAATCGAGTCCTAATTAGCCTCCGAAATTTTAAACTCATTTGGCAAGAAGCTGACTTGACACAAACCATTTGAAGTTTATATGGAAACTACAATGGGAAATCCAAACTTTTAGTTCATTGTCTTCTTGCTTTTTCCATATTGCACAGTTCAACTTGCCACAAGATCGTATATCAGTCGAATTAAATAATTATTAATTGTTTAAGAGGTTGATTATTGCATGATCATTAGGATGGGTCATCATGATCATTTTTTCAGAACAATGTTTTTTTGGTTAAAATTGGGGTCCCAAACAACTGTGCAAAATTTGGGGACGATTGGTTGTAGCCCGGCTTTCCGCATTGCATTTGAAATTTGTATAGAAATTAGTATGGGAAAACCCACATTTTTACATCTTTATTAATAGAGACCACAATTTTGCACAAACCACGCATCTAAATACCTATAAGTATAGCCCAGAAAGTGTTTAACAACTTTGCTCAAAAATGTATTGTGCTAGAATGCCCTTAAAAAAAGTTAAAGCTGTTCAAAGATCAGTGTTTCGAATTAAATGCCAAAAATCCCTTTTTCTGCCAACACTGCCGGTGTACCAATGAAAGTCAGACTCCAAATTCGAAGTTAATTATTTTATCGTTTAAGTATGTTCAGATGAAAAATTCAAAAACAATAGATCTATCACATATGCGTAGTCGGAGGGGTGATGGGGGGAGGGGGGGGGGGGTCACCCATATCAATAGAAGTAAAGTTTCAAACTGAAATAACTTCGGAGTCTTATCTTATCGATTTGGTATGTTCAGATGAATTATTCAAAAACAATTTTTCAATTTCATAGGCATATTAAGAGATGAGGGGGGGCTAACTATACCTCGCTCCCTCTTACCCATATAAATGGAGGTTAGGTTTCAAACTGCAATAACTTCGGTCTTTCTTATCTTGTCAAGTTGGTATGTTCAGTACTATTAAAAAAAATGTGCTCGATTTAATAGGCGTAGTTAGATATGGGGGGGGGGCTTACTGTATGCTTTCCGGCCCTCACTTATATCAATGAAAGTAAAGATAAAGACTAATATAACTTCGGAGTTTCCCATCTCGCGAGTTGTTCGGATGGATTATTCAAAAACATTTGCTTAATCTTAAAAGAGCAGTTGTAAAGCGAGTACTACCATTCTCTTCCCTACTCTTTTGGTGCAATATACAATGTCAGATATATTCACACAAATGTCATTGGATTGTAATGATTATATTTCATTTTGTTATATACTACGATTTCTCAGGGTACTCTTTTCGATGCTGTTCTATCCCTTGAAGCAAATATTGCTGTTGAACTAGGTCTCGGGTGGATTTCTTGATAAGTCAGAAATTAGCTTCACCCCTCATTCAGCCATATCGTTGACAACCATCAAGGAAGCAACTCGTTGTATCGCATTGAAATAATCTGTATCATTACTCCACTTGTTGCCGGTTTTTGCATGAAGCCGGTCGAAATTTCGAAAAAAAATCAGCACTGTTAGAAGTGACGTTTGTCTTGGGAGCCCAACTGAAGCTTAGCCCACTTAAAGTTAGCCCAACAAGCAAAATCCGACTGTACCTGTGTCTGAGATGAAACTGGTGAAGACAGTTTTCGTTTTCTCTTGTTTTTGGTTCTTGACATACGACTACTTCTGTGTTTTCTATATGCGGGTGGCCTTTGTTCAACAACAAACAACATCTCCTCACTAACAAATGAACCGACAAGTGGATATTAAATATTCACACTACAACAATTTTCGTTTTAAAAACTGCATACAGTGATGCATGTTTAAAATCTGATGTGTTAACCAATTTAGACATTATTAGACCAACGTTAAGCATGAATACATTAGGTATAATGGATGTTAGGCATAATGGACCGCATGATTTGACATGATTTTTTCCGATTTGAATGAAACACTTTTTCAGACTGGGTTTTAAAAGAGCATATCTAATAAAAATTGGTTTATTCCTTTTTTCACTAACTCATTACTTGAATTACGGTAAATGTATTTGATTGAAATTACGTCCAAAAAAAATGAAGCTGGTACATTCTACCAGGATGTATTCACGATGTTGCTTGATTTTTTGACAGTTTTTGTACAGTATCTGAAAACAAAGAAAAGTAACCCTGAAATATGATTGCAGATTTCGAAAGTGTGATTCATTTCATATAATAATTGAACAAAAGTGTATGATTTGAGTAGCTCAAAATGATTTGGTAAGTGACTATGCTGCGTAACGTTACAATGTCAGCTACACTACTCAACACAGACTCAACACAGACTCGCCAAAACATTGTGAACTACTCAAATCATAAACTCTTAATAAATTCCAATAAGAGATTTAACGCACTTTCCAAATCTGCAATAATATTTAGGAATTACTATTATGTTTTGTCAGTATCAGGACTAAATCTGTTTAAAAGAGGCAAATCCGTTGTAACGTCACATAAAATGTGTCAGATACGTAATGAAATGCTGTTTAAGATAGATAAATTCACTGAAAAGTTATTGTAAAATCATATTTAAAAAAATCTAAATTGTTTATTTTCTTAAAAGAGCCTCTTCGAATTTCTATTATTTTCTTTTTTTTTTAAGCTGAAGTTGTATTCTCATATCTGCTACAGATTGTTAAATTGTGATTTTTTTTTTCGAAATCATAATCGACATTCACACTCTTAGTAAATTAATTCCAAACAATATATTCCTTGCATAATTTTTCATAAATTCGATCGAAGGAGGAGAATCCTTTCTTTCAAGCTTTTGACGCTCTTATATGAGCTAGTGTCTACTTTCAACATAGTGTTATAGTTCAAATATCTTCGATTTAAAAATTTAAATCTCTTCGAAGGAAAATGAAAATTTTCTTATGACCATCAAACAAAGCAGGTATTTAATACCTTAAGTAGGTTCGACAATTCAAATGTTTTTACAAGCACTGAGTTTACCAGAGCTTTCTCAAAGTCCACTATGAATCCTTTTTCATTACAGGGTAAATTTACAGTATTTTAAAATACTGAGAACTAGGAGTTAAAATGTATCTTGATTTTTTTAAGCTCCATGACCGCACATTTTGGTTTTTTTCAATTTTCACACTTTATTTTTTCTAAGCCCAATATCATGAAAGTTATTTAGAGTTTCTGAAATTCAAAACAAAAATCTTGCTAACACATTCATAAAAAAACAAATTTCGAAAGCCAGTACACCACTAGAGAAGTGAAGGAATCATCAAAAAATTGAGACATAAATTTGCGAGAAGGCTCAGGAAACTTTAAAAACTATGCACCATGAATGATATTTATGATTCGCGAATAAAGATTTTTTCCCCAAATTCCATGTTGTTTTTTCTGGATCTAAAAAATTTAATATTTCAAACTTGGAAATTTCAGTTATCCTGGATTTGAAATAAAATTAAAATAATTAGCCAGTAAGCATGTTCAAGCTGAGGTTTGACAATTATTTTATGAATCTGGCAAAACAAATTTGACCAGCTTTACAATTCATTTTTGGGCGCACCCCTCGTCAAAATCCACCAGTGTTCAGGATTAAATCATTTCACTTCGCTATGGCAAGCAATTTGAATTATCAACTCCTTTGACAAAACTAAAATCCAGCTAAACTGAGATCACCAGCAGAAACATCAAGGTGCAAAATTGATCAGAAATCTTCCATAAATAACATATTTTTGTGTGTGTAGTACAAATTTGATCCCATCAAATTGTCTAAGGGGATAAAACCGTTCGTTGCCATGTAATGTCATGGCTATACGTTCCTACTTTGGTGTTCCAATTATGGAATATAGGAATTTAACATGCCATAAAAAGGAACGTATAGCTATAACCCTACAAAATACAAACTTGTTCACTTCATTAGGGATTAATGAAAAAAAAACATCTGCGTCCAGGAAATTGTTCAGTACTAATCTAATTTACAATTTTCAATTTCCATTCAAGCACATGCTAGGTAAATCACATCACAGACACTAAACAGAGAAGGTCAACTCCGACAAGCTTTAATAACTAAATGCAGTTTCCGTCTCATATCTCCATCTGACAAATTTCCGAACAATAGCCTGACTGAGCAGGAACAGAACTCGAGCCTAAGCTTTCCCCATCATCTCGGCTCATCGGCTCAACAATGTGATCTGCCCATCAGAAGGTGTATCATTTACAAGCTTAAGTATTCTTTATGAGCACTTACCACCGCAAGCACCATCGGCAGATTTCCCATCGCTGTCAGCAGCATGTTTTCTGGTTTGCAAATATGATTATGCTATTCACTTGTTCGTTGATGAGTTTTTCCCCCCGTTCAGAAGAGTTCGCAAATCTCTTCAAACGTGGTGCGGTCGTTGTTGTTGGTGATGATTATGGCGATGCGGCGCGGGTAGCGATTGTTTACTTGTTCATTAACACCACACACTCCGGTGACACTGCACAATTCTAATACCCCCTGTAGGCACTTGAGCTTGCTATAACTGACTGAATCTACGCGTTCGTGCCTTGAGAATACATCCACGGATTCTTTCAGCGATTGAAGGAAGTGCTGCAATCTTCGCGAAACTGTTGCTTTCCTGTTGCTCGAATGGCGTGCACTCTAAGCTACATATACTAGCTATTCTAAATCGGGCGATCGTTAGGTGAATAAATAAGCAAAATACATAAATATTAAAATGGAATGGGATGGAACTGGTGATGAACTATCGGATTCGATCACACGGCTTCGACGGCGAATGCTCGGTACCTTCCAACGTCAATTGAAAAGGTAAACGGTGACAAACAGTTCACGGCGCCCACAGCAGTTAAACATTTTGAGCCGGATTAGAGGAGTTTCGACGAATTTGCACATCGATAGGCACGCCACTCGCAACTCGCAACTGTGTTCCTAACTCAGAACGAAGATCCGGCTTCTACTCGCACCAGTCACTGATCGAATCAAATCTTCACACGGCTCAACTATTCTATAAGTTCTAGATCTCACAATTTCATACGAAACACTTCCAAGGTTTAATGTCAAGTTCTTTCGATGTAAAACCCAAGGGATTCTATTCCAGAATTCTTAGAATGGAAATCCACTTGCATCTTCCAGTAGCAAAATCAAATGCCAAAATGCGATCCTCGCGAGACGAGCGTTTCCAAATAACTGGCACCAGAATTAGCAAAAACTTCATTTTAAATGCGGCACTCGCGTGGATGCGGATTGAAGCGTGTCTGACAGCGCGCGCGACGACGACGACGACGACGACGGCGTCGGCCTCGTAATTCTCTCACGCAAAATTCGTGATCGTGCTCACCGCTGCCAAACACTGGAGTGCGTCGTGTTGGCGTCGCCTAATAGCGAAATCAAAACAAACAACGAGCAGAAGATGTTTGTTTTTAACAGTGAGTGCCGTCTGCGAGAGGACCGAGCACGTGGACGCCAGCGATCTTGCGAGAGGTTCAGAGAAACTTCTCAGTTGGAGCTTAAGTGCTTTGAGAGGAGCATGGGAAACGATGATCATCGATCAATGACGATCAGCTGGAGGGCGTGAGAGATTTGCTCGGCAGGAATCAATGAACTTTGCTCGTTGGGGATTTCAACGAAGGGTTGATGGTATAAAAAGGGAACCGGAATGTTGGAAGGTCGCATTCTGGAAGGATCAGTTCTATGCTTATGCGGCAAATAGCAGTAATTATGGCTATCTATTGGGCAATGTTCGCCAAAGTCGCTTCTGAACCAGCCCTTTGCGTGTTTTTAGGGACAAAGCGGTGCGAATCTGAAAATTTAACTGGATACTTGCTTCTCTCAAGTAAATGTTGATATGTATTTTCAGGCTTACCTTACCATTCACGGTTAGGCCCTATTATGCTTTTCGCATAATAGCTTATTGCGTGCTCTCAACTTAGTGTTCTAGATGCACTTTCACAGTAATTAATTGAGAGCTTTCGATGCCTGTACCATTTTTGCATTGGTATAATTGTGTGACAATCATACTGTATGCCCAGGGATGTCGAAACAATGTTCAGCCCGAAAATTCCTAGTCATCTCCATTTCACTCGAGAGAAGTATTTTCAGCTTCGTATATTATGAAGATTGTCACTTTCAGGCCAAAAGATTTATTTTCAATTGACAAAGAGATGGCAACTACTTCAACACAATGTTCAAATCGAACATAACAGCAGTAAACGATTTTCAGAGTTGCTCTAGTACAATAATTTGATAGCTAGATAAAGTTCTAAAGAGGATAGATTGATAGTTCCGTTAGAGTACGTACAACAGTGTGAAAATTGAACAGAAGTTGAAATTAAGCGAAGGGCCATTAATGAGACAATACTAATCAAATGCGCGCTCATCTATCTAGCTCACTTGGTTAGGGAATTTTAGGTATTTTCTCAAATCCACAGGCAAAAGAGTTCGCGTTTGAATTGCTCATATACTGTCTACGGCTGGGGAATACTTTTAGCGACGTGGGGCTTTATGTAGTGATCAACGTCACTAGAACTATTCCACAGCAGCGAGTGCTCGTGTTTCAAAAATTGGCGCGTGTACTGCAAGGTTAATGGAAAATGTCATCTTGGGTAGCAACCTACATAAATGTCAAATCTAGAAGCGTCGGGACAAAATTGGTTTTGTTGTTGCCGTTTTGAGCTGTAAATTCTCTGTATGAGTATCATTATCAGTCAGAACTCCAAGGATGCAAAGTGCGTGGCGATGCTGTGAAAAATCACGCTTCTCGGCAACGGAACAGTCGTGTTGTGGCACTGCATTGCCACGCCACACTTGGGGTTGTGACTTTCAACCAGCATTGGAGTAATCTTTGTGCAAATATGACAAAAATTTACCCAAAATCAATATTCAGCATATTCAAAATGTTAGTAATCTCACTTTTGACTTGTTTGATTTTTCGAATGTCGGCTATGCAGTTTATCGAGTTCAACATTTATTTTAATTCAACCGCTATGAGACAGGCTCAATCACGTCATCTACTAGGTAAATGCTCCGAGATGTGTATGCCTATTTGTTTTTTTTTTTCTATGCGTTGCTTAAACATTTACTCAAGTGCAGTGCTGATAAATCTGTCGGTTGGATTCTGTCAAAGTTGCTAATCTTGTTGATATAGTGTCTACGCAAAAACTTAAATTTAGTCACCTGTTGGGCCTCAGATAGACCAATCAGTAAAGGCACGGTTCGATTCCGATCTGGCAAAGCCAATCTTTGGGAATGTAAATTTTTTCGACTTCCCTGGGCATAGGGTATCATGGGGCTTGCCACACAATATACAAATTCGTGCAATGGATGGCATAGAAAACTCTCAATTATTAACTGTGGAAGTGCATCAAGAACACTTAGTTGGGAGCCGACAAAACGCTCGCTACAGAACCGTAAAAAGGCCAAGAAGAAAAAGAAGTGAGGAGATCTGACCCTTCTTACGAATTAAAATTCAGATAGAAATGTACGAATCTGTATTCAAGAATTAGAGCCAGACTATTTCTGAATAATTTTAGGTTGGTTAATCAGTTTTAAACAATGTGATTTCAATAAACTCCTTTTGGATTCAAAGAGCTACAACCTGTTTTCAACCTATGTTGACAATTTTGCTACAATTTACAGTGTGATACAGAATATTACTCTTTTTAGCAGGATGGAGCTCATCCCTACATAGCAAATCTTTTACAGAGGTGGATGAATTTAAGACGGTGATTAAAGAGATATGGGACGATATACTTTAATATATGGCGTATGCCGCTCGTCACGAATTCAAGAAGCGGCTAAAGCTTAGCCGGTCAAAAGGTGACTACGCCTTTCTTTACTATGCTGGGGGTCACATTACGAAATCAAAAATGAGGTATGTAACGAAAATTTGGCAGTTTTTCAAAGCATTTTTCTCAAAAATATTAATGAGAAATAGGTCATGCAATATGTCATGCAACAGAGAATTTATCCAGCAATTTTTAGAATTAAATTAGTATTTGTTTATCAATAGTACACCATTGAAAATTGTTCAAATTTTATTACTGAATTAAACCAATCACGTGCTTTCTTGGCATGACTATCGAGTGTGTACAGACAAGTCAATAGCGGATCTCTAACACAGACATGGGTTTCGAATGCCAAAACAGTAAATACCATCAAAAATTCAACCACCCATTTGTGAATGCAACAGGAAACAGGTGGAGCATCATTTGCTATTTTGTTTAGCCTGTCTCGAACCATCGAGTTCGTCATTAAGTTGTCAGCTTAAACATGAGACCTTGACTAATTAGAAGGCTGTTACCTTTGACATAGTACAGTGAAGACAGTCAATGTCTAGTTGAGAATTCAGTCATCACGGAGTGCTAGTGTGTTATAGTCACACCTACACAACGAACAAAGTTGTTGAATATTACATAGTAACGTATGTACCCACATCATTCCGTCAGTTGTGTAATTTTACGTTTTATGATGTACACAGTTTTTACACACTGATCTAATATTGCATCAGATTTTTTGCAATTACATAAATATTCGATACATCGGCTTGAATTACCTCTGACCAGAGCATACTTTTTTGCTCGGTAGCTGCCTTTTTAACATGACTGTTGGAAAAGATTGAAGGTTGCTGTTTTGACTAAGTTCAATGGGCAAGATCCTTTGGTTCAGTTGAGCATTTCCATCTCCACGTGGCGCTAGTGTGTTATTTTGTTTCAAATTATTTGAAATTTAATAACTTCACATCTCGAATGGCTAGAATTTTGCTGTCTCCGGCAAGCCCTATTAGATGGTTGGCAGTACAGTTTAGAATTCACTCTCCAGCTATAACTTGACAGGTCGACTAAATAGAAGGTTGCTGTTTTCAGCAAAGATTTTCACTTTGACTAGGGGAAATAACGGCTTCGGCATGACAGACTATTTTCGGCAACCCAAATTGAAACACTATTTTCACAGGATTTTCTTACGAAAACACTTCGCTGAATGCATGCACACGATTCTTTATGCTTTCAGCTTCAATTTGACTATATTTTTACCACTGAGAAAAAGCAATCTAGCAGGGTTTTCTTGAAATGAAACACACGCACTACAAATTGTAGCTGATTTCGAGTTGCCGATAATAGAACAGCAGATTTACATGCAGTTCAAATGGAACGGTTGCCGAAGAAAAACTGGTTGCCGACAATACTCGCTCTCACTAGAGAAGATTGGAGCTTTGTAAAAGAGTTTCAAAACAGTTTTTGACAATTCTTTCGATTGAAATTGTTAGAGCAGCTGGCAGCAAAAGATTGTAAACAAACCAATACTGCATATGTGTGCGTTCCTTAGAGAAAAAGGCTATAGAAAGAAGGTCGCTGCTTAGGTTGCCGAGAATACGTAAATTCCCCTATATGTTTAGTATTATTTCTGCGTGATCACAACGGTTTACATAGTTGAAGATGCTTATTTGAAATAACAGACTAAAGTGGTAATTTTCATACGATAGATGAGGAGATGAAAGTATAGAATTGATTGTTGCGTTTAGAGTACGGCTGTGTGAAAATTGCATATAGAAGTAGAAAGCGAGCTAGACAACTTTTAGGAAGGTACAAATCAGTTTTATCATCTCTCTTTACCAAACTCCCCCTTTGGAGAGGGAATTTCGTTCGTGGAACTTCGTGGAAAATAATCGAGAAACGTATAAGTATAGCAAACTTTGTAAATTTCCTAGCATTTTGAGGCGCTGCGAAAAACTTCATATAAGTATGAGGAATTTCGAAAAAGTTCAGGGAATTTTGTAGAAGATCTAAATATAGCTCAATAAACTTCTAGGAACTTCAGGGATCCTTGCTTCAGTATAAGGAACTTTGTTGCAGTTTGTCAGAGATCTTAATTCGGAAAAGCTCCATGAACTTCTTGGGGGTTTTGAGAACTTCGTTACATTTCAAGGAACTTTCCAGAATATTTGTAGGTGATAGGTGCCTTTCAAGAAGTGCAAAGATGTTCAGAGATCTTCGTAGAATCGAGAGAGATTGGCAAAATATGGAATTTGGAATAAATTCAGGGAACTTCGTAGAAGTTGGGGAAACTTAGTAAAACTTAAGGGAGTTTTGTAGATGTTCAGGAAACGTTGCATAAGTTACAGGATATTCTTTCAGCCATCCTTCCTAGACAGCAGGAAATATTCAAAAGATCTCCATAC